TTCTTGTTTGCGGGCAGGGTGCTCTTTTGTTTGAAAGCACCCGTCTGCCAAGAGTGTAGCAAAAATATGTTCATCGCAAGAGGTTGATGGAAGGTGATTGATGAATGCAATCTCTTGAATTACTGCCATAGCTCACTGGTTACAAGTTGGTCTATAGGCCTAACTGTAGATATTTCCCCTGTAACCCGTAATTTTTGTAGTTATAAACGCAGGTTAGCTATGTAAGGGGGGGCCACCTTGCATGCTTAATACCATTATGAGTCAACTTGGGTCACGCTTGAACTCTTGAATGCCTTACTCACCATGTTAGAAGGTGTGTCTGAAAGGGGGCCTTCGGTCGACCAATCAAAAATAATAAACATATCCATGGGAAATATTTGGATTAACATCAAATTTCATGGGTTAAAAAAACAGCCTATCAAGGACATCAATTTCACCCATTCCCATTTCCGTTGGCCGGAGACTTCGTCCCATCTCCCATCAATTGCCTTTTCAGGGACCTAAATTGCAGGTACAAAACATTTTTTTTTGAGGCCTAAATTTCAGGGAATAGCCCCAGAAAATATTGCCTGTGGTACCACCATTGCCTATGGATATACCAGGGTCCTGATTCCCGTTGATCCCACCTCCATGCTTGTACTTCCCGGCTACAAGCTTCCACAGAAGCCTCGATATGATCCTAAGAGCTGCAATGCAGAGGTGCAAGGTTTGGATGAAACAAAACATGGTATAACCATGGGATATAGAATCCCGATCTTTGTTGGCATGTATGTATATATTTAATGTTCATTTATATGTTTGTTAGATATATGATTTATGATATATGATATATGATATATATATATATATATGTTATGGTATTCCCACTTACAAGTATATCCCCATTATAAGCGCGTATAATGTAATCATCCAACTTCACTACAGATGGTGAATCTATCCGCTTGCAATGAATTGTGCCGCCCAAAATAGATTTTAACAATCCCCAGGTGTTAGGGTGGAACAAAGAGTCTTTGAAACCACCTGATCATAGCTATACTTAGTATATAAGTAGTAACATGACCGTGACACCCCTGGATTTCCGGTGTTTTTCACAGAAAGCACGAAAAATGTTAATTCAAAGCCGGATTCGATGAAATGGATACAAGCGATATCAGAAACAACTGAAACGTCCTCCAGAGGGTCAAAACAACAGACTGAATGAATATGTCCATGTTGTTTCCTCAAATGCATGGCCTCCAAAATCCACCAAAAATTGCCCCAGATGCTCCAGGGAACGGCCGCTTCGTCAGGGATCATCACTTTGATAAACTTTGATCTATCGTTTCATGACGTTGATGTGAACAACACTTTAATTATATAATGTAGCTCAATGATCTCGAATAAAATATACTATCCCAACATTGGATGAAGTTGCAATTTACGGCAAAACTTGAAATCTAGTGGCAGAAAATGATAAATCGTGCTTTGCTATAGGTTCTGTATAGCTGTGTAATCATTCATCCAGCCAACAAAAAATAAGACACCCAGAAGATTCACCATCAATTCGGCGCTTGCCTCCCTTCGCGACAACACATGGCACGAGCTGCTAGCTCTTCTAGAGCATCGAGATTGAAACTGTGAAGCGATGACAGCGAGATACTGGGCCTGTGCCTGGGGCGAAGCCGAGAAGCCACTATACCGACTATACCACATCCAAGGACCCAGAAAGCAGTGATCCCAGGTACAAACCAAGTAGCGTCCCAAAGTTGATCCAAATTGCGAGTGGCAGCCGAATCAAAAAAAACATCAAAATGGAGCACCCGAAAATGTGCTTGCAAACAACGCCATGAAGAAAATCCATCAAAATCCAGAGCAACCGGTCATAAGTATTTATTGTAGTCTAGATAGTTTAGTCTAGGAATTTACTATATTTTAGCGTTCTATCTTCTATATATGATCAATGCTCCCCTTGGGTTCACCACGCCGAGGGGCGAATCTGCCGTGCTTCCTCTACTTCCTGTCGCCAGCGATGGGATCTCCATTTATGTGGGAACGGGGTGCGGTGGAGGGCCTCTCCTTTAACGATCTTCAAATCCGCCCCGGACCAAAACAAATCGGTGTCCAAAAATAGGGAATACTCTAAGCGTAATGAGGCTTCTCCTTCCCAGCAAAGACTCAACGGTCACAGTTTCCAACGATGACCAGGGTTCTTGGGCTCTCCAGAAAACCACAATTGGGTGATGAACCCATATGACCCCAAGTCCTCGATCCTTCTCTGGTTAGGTAGGTGGTTTCAACATGTTTCACCCCTGGAGATTCATCAGATGAGATCATCACCCCAAATAGAGCTGAACAAACATGAAATCACCAACCAAATCATCATTAGGTATACAACCAGTTTGTACCCATGAAAACCAAATTTTCGATGGTTAAATCCTTCACTGGTTGTGGTCTTCATAAAAAGACCCAGTTCTGCCCGCTGGCACCGGCACTTGCCGTCGTTTTTTGCTGTAGCTGCCTGAGCAAATTGGGTGATGTTCCCTGATCAAATTGAAGAGTTTGATCGTTTAACCATCCATCTATTTAACAGCTGGCAGTGGCAAATCTGTGGGTAATACGGAAATCGGCTATCAATATCTATAAATAGGATGAAGTGCTTGATTTTGCACTCCTATCCTTTGCCAGGTGAGGCTCCCAAGAGCAAAAGAGGGTTCAGACTATGCGGAAAGAAAAACCAACAGGAATGACAATAGTGACCAAAGGGTTGAACAAATCATCCGGAATGACTCGGCATTGCAGCTGGGTAGCCCGCATTTCAAGGCCAAAAGGGTAAAATGAACAATGGCCAATGACAGCCCTGAATTTTGCGAAAACCATGGGCTGTTCAACTGGGAGAGTACCATTTTAGTAGCAAATGATGCATTATGTTAACCAGGGTCCAGGGTTGACATGATATGAAAAACCTCTGTGGCACTGTGAGTCCTAACCCATTGACCATTTTTCGATGGGTCTGACAACTGGTCCATGTTAACCCCAAATCTGAGATTAAACATGATTTAAATTTAAATATTTATTGTTTCTGCGTGTTTCTATTCATATAGTAAAACATACATGTATGATCATGTATGTATTTGTACCCTCCGGTAACTTAACATACGGTAGCCATGGAAAATCACAATGGTAAATCAACCATAATGGGCTATTCAACATTCATTTTCCATGAACAAACTGTTAAATTACCGGTGCCAAAGGTTCTTCCCCAAGGATTTTGAATAAAATACCATTTCCATCAGGAAACATTTCATATTCGATCTCCAAGATACGGTCCTAAGCATGGACTGGAACTGACTTCGCGTTGTTTCGCAACAGTGCAAATAACCTGTGCGGAATCTGAGGAACTTCGTGCGGACACATTGATGCAATGGTTTAATGGAACATCGTTCCATTTATTTTTTTCTTTATCATAGCATAGTTACCCACACCCATATCAACACCCAGTTTCCATAAATCATGGTTTCCATCAAAATAATAATGGGATTGATTGGGAATGGAATCCTTGAAACCTGGAAAATGGATGAAAATGGGAACCCACATGTTGTTTTAAATGGTGGATATATATATATATATGTATATATATATATATATGTATATATATATGTATATATATATATGCGATCCATTTCAAGAATCTAGCCATTTTGGGGTTCCCTGCTTAATTTCTGAGGGGTGACCGACTTAAACGGTTAGAGGCCATTGCTTTGAAACAAATGGTTGCACCTTTAGAACTACATTGCATCCAGGGCCCGGAGTCTTACTGACTCCAATTACCACACCAAATATCGAGAATATCCCTGATGAGCGCACTAGATCTCTCCACTCAAATATTGCAACCGTCACAGGTATCGGTGGCAGTGTTTGATTGGTGGATACCAAATATACATGTATATATATATAAATATCTTATGATATTTGTGTGCGTGTATCATTTTGTAAAGATTTAGTGTATTACAGTCAATTGTTTGGTATATAAACTACATTGCATTGTCAACTGTAAAGCTAAAATGCATTACATCATTTCAAATCGTATTATGCCGTATCATATTGTACTATATTCAAATATACGGCATGGTCTATGTATTGCTATTATATTCAAGTATATTCGGGTAAGTACGGTTGATACTGGTACGAACATGAAACGGTGCGTGTATATGTATATATAAATAAAAATATATATATATATTTATTTATACCATATGCATCTGAACATGTTTGAACGCATGAGACGTGTATGTATGCATGCATGAATGCATGGCTGCACGTATGCATGTATGCATGTATGTATGTATATGCAAATTTGAATGAATATGTGTATGTATGTATTCATGTAAGTATGCATGTATGTTTGTATGTGTGTGTACACCCTTCTAGCACATGTACAGGGCATGGTTGACTGCACATGTTCATACAAAAATATGCAGGGGGCCCAAGGACATTCTGGAAGGCTTGGGCCAACAAAGACCCTTCCAGTTTGTCGTGCAAACGTACCTGCCAGTGATGCACCTGGGCGCAGTGGTCGCAGCTGGTGGTCACAAACTCATACGACACCATGCATATAGATTTCTTAATTTTCACATTTGCAGAGTCAGACAGTCATCATGCTTCGACTGCGTTGGTTGTTACCCGTGAAACTTCGACTTGGTCTTCGAGTCTTCGAGGAAATGCGGAACCAGCTCCACTTCTTAAAACCAGTCCAGTGTGTTAGTGTCGCCCCGGCTTATATAGTCCGGGGGGGCTCCATACCTCTGTGTTGCAGGGGTAATGGTGTGCAAACAGGACAGGTCAGTGACCCAGTTGAGGCTCGAAATGCCAACGCAGCTGAGAGGCATGCAAACAGGAGCTCGTGCAGGCTTAGAACCAAAACACCCTAGAAGGGCCTTCCAACTTCAGGCAATGCCACACATAGTCAAAGAAAAGGAGAATAGTTCAGAAGAACACTTGCAGCTTTAATACATTCAATCCCAGATCGCGGCTATGCTTTCTTGATGAAAAGTTTTGTTTGTTCCCCGCCCTTTGATTCTTTTTTAGTTGTTGTCGTTTTGCGGGGTGGTCTTGAATCTATTGTTTTGGTTTATCCCAGTGTAACTTGGAGCTTGAATACTTTTTTCTCTTTGAGTTTCTGTCCATGAAACGTTTGCGTTGTTGCGCAAGATTGTAGTGGTTCGCCGATAGCAGCAGAAGCACACGCCGAAAAACAGCAGCATCCCAAGTTGCAGAATATCAGTCAAGCCGGCTCAAAACACATCGGCAACACAATTTATTGTGGTTGGTTGTTGACTGGGCGAAGCGGGAGCCAAACGACAGAATATTAACATGTGTGAAGCGCAAACCCTGTCTGATATGCATATTTCGCCATGTCAACTGATATAGTCTGATGGCCACTAGGCAAGGCCAAACAAAAACAACATATTAGCCTAGTGTTTCCATGTGTTGACATGTAAACTAACTCCGTCTGATGGCCACTGGGCAAAGCCGAAAAACCCAGAATGTCAGTCTCGTGCTCGCATGTTTTGACCCTGTTGCCCCTGCAGTGCGTTGTGAAGGGCCTATAGTTCGAACATGGCTTCAAGAGCAGCATCATTCCTGTTTGTTTCCCTGGTTTCATGTACCAACCACGCATGTTGTTCTGCGACAAAGCAGGCACTTGCCAGATTTTGTTGTCAATTTCCATTCTTTCTTGAGGAGTTGGTCCCCGGACGAATGCATGTTTGAATGTGTGGCTTGTGGTGCCTTTGATTATGGAGATCATGTACGCTCGACTGGACATGTGTTCAGCGCAGCAAGCGGGTTGTTTCCAACTTACTGGTCGGACACCTGAACTTAGCCCACACCGTGTTTCCATCACAAATACGCTGGATCACAGATGCGCAGCAACAATTTGCTAAATGGTGTGAAAGATGGCGGCTAGGCAGACTCACAACCATATGGAACTACATGTGTCAATATATTTGGCAACAACATGTCCAAGCAGTTTCCTGTGATGGTGTTTGTGCATTCCAAGCCCTGTTTCGTGAACTGCATAGTATCAGACGGTTTGCCATTTGCCCAGCTGATCATCATCCTCATCGCATTTGTGTTGCCCACATCATTATCACCACCTCCTCATGAAAACTTTCATGACACCTGACATGTTTGTCAGATGTTCTGTCGGTTGGAACACAGTTTTCCCACGAGTGACGGCCGATATGGGAGATAGCCTGCCTTCCACCTCACTTGCGACAATTCACTTGCGATAATTGGCTTCACCTGGTGGAAAGTGCACATGTGCGTATATTCTTCCCAAAACTAGCAAACATTTTTTTGAAGCTGCGTGCCCTATCATTGCATATACAAACAGTTGGAACAACCGATTAGGCGAAGTCATTGGGGGGATTGTCTTACAGCTGATTGTTTCATGGGACATCGCTGGACAAAGCGGTTGTTCAAATTATGCGGGCAATTCATTGTTTCTTTGACTACGATTTACCGAGCCATTTGCCTATGAAAATGGACCAACTAACAAGACTTATCAGTTTTTTTTCAATTCGGTACCACATTCTCGAATGGTCGACAGTGTCTGGTATGCGTTGCATGTGTATTGTCATAAGTACAATGTGTCTCTGGAAAGCACTATTACTTTCCAACTTCAAGATCTTAAATCTGCCCAACGAATTTTTCGGGGTCAATATCGACGAGCTGGCAATCGAACGACGGAAGTCAGTTTGGTTCATCTCCCTGCAATGGTTGCCTTTCTTCTACGAAATTCATGTTTCATGGTTGGTCGGCATCTGTTTAAGCAAGTTCAAGGTGCTAGTATGGGTTCGCACTTTGCCCCGGCGTTATGCGGACTAGTAGCAGCATGTCAAGAACACATTTTCCCCAAAACATTCGAGGATATGATCGCTGCAAATCGACTGTTGTGTAATGTGGATATAACCGGGCCATGATTGGATTTGGCGTGTTGCTCTCCTATTTGGTCCGTCTTCACACATGCAGAAGTCTATGGAGCGCCCATTTTGCTTGAAGAAGTGTCTGACCCAATATTGTTAGGGGTACATGTGGACACAGACCAAAGAACCACTACAGTTCGTTTCCATCACGATATGAGTCACTATCGCTTCAGCCTTAGTCAAGGATCCGATCTTGCCTTGTCTTCAGCATTTGCAGCGCGCCTACTGATGGTGCCCCGATACACACACCCAAAATCTTTTGTCATTCCTCAAATTCAAGATCTTTGTGTTAGTGCGTTTGGCTCCGTTTTGACAATGCGCACGGTGAAGCAACAACGTTAACTTTGGAACTGGCCGGCTAAGATTCGAAGCAACACTGACCACGCCCATAGGACCCGACCCTGGATTACTGAGCAGATTCTGTTTCGGTAAACCATTCTTGACGAATGTATGCAGTGAAAATACAGCGCGCTGCGCTGATCACACATGTGGTATCAGCACCAGATATACCGGTCACATTTCTCTAAATCCTTGGAACCAACTCCAGTTGATGGCAACTGGGCAAAGACGAAAAACCGAGGATATCAGGTTTAGATAAACACGCAAAGAAATACCAGATGCATGCGTGGGACATGTGGCGTCACGAGCGCACGTGATGCAGATAGCGCCAGGATACAGGTCAAAATAAATGCACAACACTTTTGTTGTTGCCTTCTCACCTGTCACTACGCGCGTACTTGGGAGTCAACAATGTTCTGATACTGCAGCAGCCAATGCTTGCGCTGCCCACACCAAACCATGACTGAAGAAAAGGGTTCAGGACAAGATTGCGTATCTTAGCTTGTGTAGATCGGAAGCAAGAGCTTGGGTGATTTTGCTAACAACGACTAGAAAAGCCGCAACTCAGGCGCTTGCATGTTTACAGGGAGGTTTCTGAGCAGTTTCGTAAGATTGTAGCGGGTGCCATTCTACAAACAACATGCGCTCGCAATTGTCATAACAAGCTTAGCTCCCTAGTGGGTCGTGTGTGTGTGTACACCCTTCTAGCACAGGGCATGGTTGATTTCACATGTTCGTACAAAAATATGCAGGGGGCCCAAGGACACTCTGGAAGGCTTGGGCCAACGAAGACCCTTCCAGTTTGTCGTGCAAACATACCTGCCAGTGATGCACCTGGGCGCAGTGGTCGCAGCTGGTGGTCACAAACCCATACTATACCATGCATATAGATTTCTTAGTTTTCACATTTGCACAGACAGTCATCATGCTTCGACTGCGTTGGTTGTTACTGGTGAAGCCTCGACTTGGTCTTCGAGGAACTGCGGCGAATTTGGAACCAGCTCCACTTCTTAAAACCAGTCCAGTGCGTGTGTGTGTGTATGTGTGTATGTGTGCGTATGTGTGTATGTGTGCGTATGTGTGTGTGTGTATGCGGGTGTGTGTGTGTGTGTCGGTGTGTGTATGCTTGTGTCTGTGTAATGGTGTATTGTGTTGTGTTGAAGTGTATTGTATTGCATTGGTATTGGTGATGGTATTTGTATTGGTATTGTATATTGTATGTATTGTATGAATGCATTATTATACGTATGTACGCATGTATGTCTGCATGTCTGTATGTGTGTGTATCTGTGTGCATCTGTGTGCATCTGTGTATATCTGTGTGTATGTATGTATGTGTGTGTATGTATGTATATATGTATGTATGTATGTATGTATGCATGCATGCATGCATGCATGCATGTATGTGAATGTGTATGTATGTAAATCGTGCATAAACTATTATATAACTACTAAATCGATGATTTGGATTTACACATACACGAAGATTGCTTTTGAAACCCCGAAAACATCAAAAGAAATCATGCCAAGAGACTACTTCGCCCTGCTCATGGTCCATCGATCCCATCGCCATGTCACAACAGGAACCAGCTTAAAGAAAAACGCTTCGAGAACGCCATGCAGATTCTGCAGTTGAAACTTTTCTTGATTTTGTTGGCCAACGTGCTTGCATAACATGGAATACCCAGAACCTCTCAAACTCTCATGAAATAAAGCTGTCTCGGTTTAAGTTTAAATTCATACCCTCACTGAAAGAGCAATTTCGATGTATCACCCCTTTTAAAACAAAATCATCTCCCCGGTATTGTTGTTTATACCGTGCAGCAAATCACCACTGGCTCGACTAGATTTCCACTATGTTTCAAAAACGTCTGCATCCAGTCCTGCTAGGGAGAGTGCATAGTCCCGTTTCATAGGGGTTGCTCCCCCACACCCCAAAATACAAAGGGAGTGAATTTGCTAGATAAATAGGTGCAATCACACAATCATTCCACCCTTGTTGTTGTCAGTTGCCTATATTAGGTTGGAGAAACCTTGCTTGTACTGGTTAAACCACGACAGATGATCTTGTTGGTAAATGTCCCCAATATATACTCCTCATTATTATTCAGTATTTTTGCTGTTTGAACAACCATATTCAGGTCACCTCCAGTATATATATATATACATAAACAAATACATAATAAAAAAAAAAAAGTAAATTACATAAACATAAAATAAATAAATTAATCAATATTAAAAAAAACATAGAGAATAATATACATATATATATATAAATATATATGCAAATTCCTTTTGTGACATATACAGCCACATATCCACATGATACTCCGATGTCCCATGCGGATTTTTAGGGATATCTGGCGGCATCAGCCCCACCTGGAAATAAATGTGCAGCCGAAGCCTGGCTTGAAGACAACTTCGAATCCCTGAGTTTCATTGTGTACACATATTGTGAAAGATTTACGCATATACATATGCATATATATATAATTACATATATATTTCTATATTTATATTTCCACGGTGTGTATATATATATATATATGATCAATAAATATATAATATTTATATAAATATATAAATATGATGTGTGTATATACATATATATGTGTGTTTTTGCGGAAGTAGATCTATAGAAAACATGTATGTACTTATCTATCTATCCGTTCATTCGTATCTGTATATATAATATTCGGTTTACATTTGTGACATATATGTGTGCTTCTGTATGCAGTATATGTTTGAAGGGGTGGGCTTATATCAGGGAGTTAACATCTGAAGCTGTCGCACATGATATTCTTGTTGAATCTCGGGATTCTCCAGTTGTGGGTAGTCGCTTCATCATAGGATGCCATAGCCATAGCATTCATTGGTTTCCAGCATCATGATCGTAGTACCGCTGTTAGAGTCAATATGATCAATGTGACCCAATGACATGGCATGTGCTTGAAAGAATGGGTTTGCACACAAAGCATCAAATCAGAATCATTCGAAGTTCTTTGTTAAAAACCTCCACGTTGCGCACAAAAGATCATATCATAGTAAATCATAGTAAATCATCATCTGCAAGAAGGATCCACCTGGAGGATACAGCGGGTGCCAGAATTATAGAACGGAGCCAGGAGTACAAGAGTACGGTAAAATACCGTACCTTTGTACTCCTCCGGGTTCCGATTCCGCGCGGAGTCGGGAAATTTAATTTTAGAACGGGGATCCGTTCTATAATTAAATTTCCCCGTTCTATACGGATCCCCGTTCTAAAATTAAATTTCCCCGTTCTATAAAATGAGTATTTACTGCAAATTTTGTACATATAAGGTTTTGCGGCTGATAAGGGGCCTTTGGAATTGGATTCTAGGGTCCTTGGTAATTTAGTTGCACCCCTGATTGTAAGATATGTTTTCCAACATTTATTTCTTTACCTATCATATCTATCAAGTAGGTGGTCTTGGTATATACTAGTGAAGTTATCTCAAAGGAAAATGTGTATTGGGTTAGTGTCCCTTGGATGTTTCAATGTTTTTAGCCCTTATCCGCCATTTAGTGCTATCCGAACGGGATTGATAATTTGCCCCTTTATCCATTTACCCTTTTACTCGTGGAAGTACCAGTCATGATCGCCAATTCGATCGTAGTTCACATATGTTTTTTTTGGTTGAGTACTTAGATAAAGTTTCGGTATATCATACCCTGAAGTAATTGTAAAGGCATGGAGTATTATTTCCAATGGGACCTTTGATTCAATCCAAGATGGTTCTATTTTAGGCATCAGAACACATTTAAATAAACATGGTTCTATTTTAGGCATAAATTTACCTTTTTGTAACCTAACATGACAGTTAAACATCTGCCATGTAAATTGAAACTATAATGGTAAAATTAACTGAGACGTGGTGCGTTTTCTAGTGCCGTGGTTAATGACCAGAGGAATCCCATTCACTATCAAGCAATAGTAAACTAATTCTCACCCTTTTACATGGCCATCCTTTACCCACACCCCATCGGGGTGGCAGTGCCGGGGGCTGGAACGGGTGGGACCGGTGGCCGGTGGTGCACTTCACCTTCTTCGCTATTGAACTTTTTGGAGGACTGGAGTGGGTGGTATGGCCTGCTTGGTGGGAAACCCACATTGATAAGGCATCATTGGAACCCCAAACTGGGCTGCATCCCTTAGGTCTATGAGATTGCCATCCCTTCCCTCCAATTGCAGGACGGCAGGGCAAAGAAAGAGGGAAGTAAGGCGCCATTTTCGGGTTTGGCTGATCTGGATGTGTGGCTCCCTTGGGGTGATTTCTACATGTTGGATAGGGACGCCCCAATATAGAGGTTGATATACATATATATATATATATGCTAATAGATATTGATATGGGCGTAGCTATATATATATATGAACATAAATGTGTAAAAAGTGCAACCAATTCTAATTTGACATGTTTCCATCCTTTTTGGGGATGGCTACAATTAGTGTCGGGGTTGGAATGTTTAGATATTCTTCGACAGTGATATGGCAAGATTTCGAAAGGGATGCATGTCCTATTCCGATCTCAAGGCTGCAACTCTTTGATTTCTTGCTGCCATGGCAGAGCTACCCCCGGATGATGAGGAGGGTCCTAGCATGCCAAAGGCTTCGCAGTCACTGCCGATGACACATTTGGTGACCCCGCAGCGCAGGGCAGTCCTTCCTCCCAAGTTGTGACTTGACATTTTCACAAATCGTCGTTTGCTTCTAAATTCCTATAACATTATGGTGGGAGATTGGGTTACAAATATTTGATTTTTTTGGGGTGAATACGGGGGATACAGACTTTAGGAAACAAATGACTTGGCAAAGTGAACTGAGGGATGGAAACTCAGCTCCAAAGGGTGACCCGGCACAAGCCTTCGAATGCTGTACATCTCATTGTGTCCAAACCTTTCTGACTAGCAAAGCTCGATCGGAATATTTGGATGATCCTTGGCATCTTTTATCTAGATATGTGTTTTTCCAAAGCTCAGATAACCCTTGAAGGATTTTATCTATTGGCTTACCCCTTACGTTCTGGTAATTCTGACAAATCTCAGGAAACATTGGAAAAATTCTCCAAGATGACTGACAATGAGGTGAACGCTTTTCTCATCGGATTGCTGGGGAGATGTGACAAGGTCTGGTGTTAGTGTCTAACAACAACTAGTTGGTATAGGTACCCATGGTTGGTCCCCCAAATCCCTTTGTATTCCAACGATTCCAGCTACATTGATTATGTTCAAATTGGTTATTATATATATTGATTATGTTGTATGGTGATGAAAAAAACCCTTTCAGGTAGGTGGACGTACGAAGTATGCCTTATGTGGCTTTGGTGTTTGCCGTGATGGATTCGCTGCACTCATGCGCATCAACAAGAAAAGGGCACCTGGCATTGAATTTCTATGTTTAAATTAACTTGGTGAAGCTTTATCCATTCCATCATGTGAATGGTGTTATGAAATCTGCCTTTCCCCAGGTACAACGCCTGCTTTCATCGGGTGGTGTTGAAGTGAACCAGGTCCCAGTCGACAGGAGGAAATTCAATGGTCCCAAGCAATGCCCGAAGACCATATCGGCTGATGCATTTTTCAACCATTACTACCACAACGTGGCCTCTCGACAGGACATGATTTTGTATATATATATATATATATACACATACAAATCAACACATATATATATATGTAGTAGTATAGATATATAAATATAGATTAAGATAAAAATATACATTACTAACTGTATATCTATATATAATAATGTATGTATAAATAAATATACATGAAATATAAAAAGAATATAAATGCTAAATAACAAATAAATAAATATCTTTATTTTTAAAGATTATATTATATCCTATTACATTACAAAATAAAGACTACATTCATCTATATATACATATTTGTGCATGTTTACTTTCCACCTCCTAGAGCCTTAGTGTGATAAGGCCATTTGATTGGAGTGGAATGGTTACCAACAAATTTGAGGCTGAGCCTCTTGCAGAGACACCAGCGGTTGAAGATGACCCATATGTGTCGCGCTTGCATTGTACCGGTGACTTCCTTCCAGGCTATTGGTTTTTAAAACAAATCCACCAAAAGCGGATTACTTTCAAACAGTTTGCTGTATCACGATCATGATAGACATAGTGCGACATTTGCCTCATTCCTGTCTCCCTGTGAGGCCCTGTGACCGATGATGCGCCTCCAAGTCTCTTTGGGCTGGAGCCGAAGCTTTCAGACAAGACGTGTGCCAAGGCCAACGCTGTGACCGGTTCCGGCCATGCGGGCTTGATGGGTGGAAAGGGTACCTGGGTCTTCCATTCGAACATTTAAAATGTTCATTTTTCAGATTGTCTGTTTCTTTTCCAATATGTTAATCCCTAATGGACCATAGGATGATGATCAATTTCTGTGGTGGTGCTAAGGTGCTTTGCAATGCAGGCATGTGCACCACATGACCATGGAGGCATGGTACCACATCTACTGTGGCTGGTGTGATTCGAACAAGGTCCCACCTGAAGAGCGTGCTAGCAACCGGACTTTCCGGACCGTGTATGATCAGACCTGGAAGGTGACAATGCCAATGCGGGAGATTTCGCAGCATGCGAGGTTTGGTTGGGAACAAAAGTTGTGGTTGCCATTTTAACATCTATTTATTTGTCTAGTTGGGGACTACCAAAATCAAAAATAAACCCTCAAACAATGAATACTGACTGGCAACTTGGTTTCAACTAGATTTTATTTATGGAATGCCAATGAATTGTGACTGACAGGTGCTCCCAGTGCGCTCACTTCACTGCTCGAATTGGGCATGTCCACACGGCTGACGAAAAGGCTGCTTTGGAGCACTGTCAGAATATCCATTTGTCCAATGTTCGAGCCTATCGGACCCTACAGGCCAGGCTGGCCACATTGTCCGAGCAGTCGACGGTGGTGGACGCTACGGAGACTTGCCTGATGATTTCTGTGGACGGCTTGGATCAAGCGAAGACCCGGTGGCCTAGAAATCTTTCTTCCTCCAAGAGCTTGGACAAGCTGTGGCGGCCACAGGTCCACTTGATTGGCTACATCTGCCACGGCGTTACTTGTTTGATTGAATATTCAGGTCAACGCTCCTTGTTTGTGATTTTTAGGGATGTTCAGTGGGTATTGGGATCCAACCCCTAAGTATTTATCCTGAAATCAAACTTCTTTTGTGTTGAGGTTTGTGAAGGATTCTTCGTGGTTCCTGCTGATGTTCCCAATGACTCGAGTTGTGAGATCACTGTGATTGAGACCATTTTGGATTGGGCCCATGATATCCTTCGATCTCGCAAGTGCTCCATGCCCACAAACTTGGTCTTGGAGGCTTGGTTCTGGCCCAACATTGGACTTGTGGGGTGGTGGGGGTCAGAAAAAATCATACTTTTTTATTCTCTCTTGCAGCTCGTGGAGTCTCTCGATTCCAGGTCTTTGGAGGTCGGGCTAGATTGTTTCATTCAACAGCCTCTAGCTTCCCATTCCTCAGTTCTGTGTTTTTGAGACCTGTCCGTGATACCCTGCAGACCGACAATTGCGCGCGAGAAGGGAAAAATTCCATCGTAGCAAAGTGGTCATGCCAAGCAGTGGCGAAGGGAAAGCGCCTGAGATATGCTGTAGCAATGATTTACTTCTAGGTTTGGTTTGGAATGGCTCTAATACTAAGATTAAGTTTGTTCCCCACCTGCCAGGTGAGGGTTGTTAGATTTTATCACAGCTGTTCCGGCTCTTTCTCCTTCACCTCCTCCTCGTCCTCCTCCTTCTCCTCCACCACCTCTGACTCCACTTCCACGTCCACTTCCGCCCTGCCAACTCTTCGCCAATCTCTTCGCCAACTTCCGCGCGCAGTGGGCACTGCTGGACCTCAACTGCCGGCTTCCAATCTGAGTGGGCACGGCTGGACCTCAACCGCAAGGTTCTGAGCGCAGTGGGCACCGCTGGACCTCAGCCAGGGACCTTCCGCGCCCAGTGGGCACCGCTGGACCTCAACCTGGGACCTTCCGAGCTCAGTGGGCACTGCTGGACCTCAGTGGCCAGATGGAATGCCAGAATCTATGCCAGAAATACTGCCAGATGTGTATGCCAGAATATTTGCCACATAGAATGCTACAGAGAATGCCAAAATATATGCGAGAAAGAATGCCACATAGAATGCCAGAATATATGCCAGATAAAACACCAAAATATATACCAGATAAAATGCTGGAAGATATGCCAGATATAATGGCAGAATAGATGTCAGATAGAATGTTAGGTAAAATGTCAAAATATATGTCAGAATATATGACTTGAAATGCCAGGGTGGGGATCACTCGAAGTAAAGTATTTTTTTATTTCTGACGTCTATTTCCCATTGAGCTGCAAACCAGGTTCCTGTCCGTCTCCCATATCTATGGGGAGGTTGGCCACACACATGGACCAGTAGATCAAAGGCTGAGTATTGCCGTCAGTGCATTCTCGAATGAGGACACGATCCAAACACCAGGGGAGCCTGCGATCTTCTTTAGAAAATGAAGTTGGATATGTGGTTCCCATCAAAAGAGACAAAAGAATTGAAACGGAATTGTTTTCCACACAGACCCAATGCCAATGGCCAAGGACTTTCTGAAGATCTTGGACACAAAGGTTTCTCCAGTGAAGGGCCGAGAGTTGAAGAACGGGATGCTTGAGGGGACTTGGGATTACAAGACCTGGGTGGAGCAATTGGGGCTTCAGATCTCAGGGCTGGTTCCGAATGCGCGTGCGGTTGGTGGGGATGAACATCGGGTGAACCACTCTTGGCGGTTCATTCGGCGATGTGACACTTGTGTTAAAACATGTTTTTGCTGGGATATATATCAGAATGTATTCGGAAGTAATGTCATGGGACTCTTTGAAGTAAACTTCATATATGATTTTTTTCTGTGCATTGAAAGTCATTATTTTCATGGGTTCCTTTGATACGTGGTTTTCAGGTATTAGGAAGAGGTTGCACAATTTAAGTGGCTTATAGCACAGTGGCAGCAAATCATAAGAATCAGGATCTTCCGAAGTATGACCAGAAGACTGGTGAGTCATGGGCTCCACTGGAGATTGAAGGGCTGGGACCTGGAAAGGAGTGTTTGTTCCGAACATCTTGGACTATCAGTTGTATGGTCTAACCCTTAAATGTATGAGATGACTCAATAACTTCCTGGGGTTTCTTGTGATGGATTTTCATTATATACCCCACTACATATTAAGTGTTCCCGATAACTTCCTACATGACTGGGGTGGCAAAAGGTTACCATCATAATATATTTGTTGAGCTGGGCTCTCACCCATAACACCATACAGTGTATGGTTGTTTGCCTTGTCCAACCCTGAAGGAGCTCAGCTACACACCCTGTGATCACGATGTCATCTTTCTCGCAAAGGAGCTGGTGAACAGCAACGAGCTGTCTCAAAGGCCTTTGGTGGCACTTCCCAAGGACTTCTTGGCCAAACTCAAAGAACCCTTGAAGCTGATTCTTCGCAATCCAATTCCAGAGCGATCCCTGAAAGAGCTCCCCGGTATTAAAAAACAAAACAATCATAACCTTGGTGTTTGTTGTGAAAGCTGAAACTTTAAAAAGTACATCATTTCCAGCAGTTATAAACAAATGGTTTTTGATATTTTTTTGGAATTTTGAAGTGACCTTAGCTTCCCCGGTGCGTACCAAGGTTTCTGAAGACTGCGCGAGTCATTGAGCAAGAACCTTGGTATCTTCTCCGGGCTGCGGAGGAGCTTCGTCACTGGATCGAATCTTGGGCTGGTGATCCAAGTAAACACCCAAAAAAGGAACCCCCCCCTGTAGTCTACTTTTGGGGGGCGTGTCTACACAATGCATACAGTTTGCATCACATGTGACATGTTCACTCTAATTCATATATGTACCACTGCGCCACTCCGTGGCTCAAGACTTGCTCACATAGCAGATAAAAGAGTGTGGTGTGCCGCCGTGTTGACCACAATTGTTCAACTCTTTTGTTGGGATCTAGGGCCCCGTGAATACCAGGGATTGCTACCTCATCCCCCGGGGGGTTCCTTTTTTGCATTGTTCCTTTGTGGTGACCTTCTGATGCCTTCTGTGGGGGTGGCAAACCGATAGGATCATCCACATTGCTTTCACCCTAGATGTGAAATGGTTCAGCTGGTGCTACTTGTTCCACATCATTTTCTTAGTCAGTGGGGTTCCCTGTGACGAAAGCTGTTTTTAATATACAAATATTGAAATTTTGATGGCTTTCATCTTTTACTACAACTCAAACAAATAAGGATATGAATCAAAAGAAGAGCTGGCCCGTTCCCCATATGCCGGTTTGGATGCACCAAGCTGACACACGCCCTGTTGGAGTCGAACCCAATCCTACGGGGAACTTCGGTGCTATTTCATTCGAATGTTTCTTTGGTTTGGTTTTCGGTGGTAAGCTGTTACTTAATAATAAAGCTTATCAACACCAAAGATATCAGCTGAGCATTGTTACCCAGACCCTTACAAATCCCAAATATATTTCTTCAGATCACTACGTAGCTTAGGTGGGAGAAGTTTGCGCCGGGTCCTGTCCGCCAGATCCAAGTCGTTGAGCAGAAGCCCCCGGCAGAGCCCAAACCAAAACGCCAACCCAAAAGAGCAGAACCCAAGGAAGCATGCGAACCCAAGAAACGGGGGCGGCCTCGAAAGCACCCCATTCTTGTTCCCAATGCTGCTGCTGTGCCCGACCAGCTGAGCCAGGGTGGGAATGGGGTTGATGCTGCGAATGCTGAGGTTGGAGGTGGTGCTGCGAATGCTGAGGTTGCAGGTGGTGCTGCTGCGAATGCTGAGGTTGCAGCTTCTGCAGCGAATGCTGAGGCTGAAGGTCCAGGTGCTGGTATTGCTGAACTCCCTCAGGTTGACCAAGGTGAAGGGGTTGAGGGTGTCGTTGGTGTGGGAGGTGCTGCCCCAGCTGAAGGTGCTGCCCCCGATGCTGTGCCGGTTGCAGATGATCGTGCCAAGGTTTATGGGTGTCCCAGGTGCTACTTCAGTCCTAAGGGTTGTTCGACCTGCCGCCGGCCCGAGTACAAACCTAGGAAACCCAAAGCCATGCCCAAAGCAAAGCAGGCTCCCAAAGCAGCAGCAGCAAAGAGCACAGCCAAGAAGGTCATGAAAACTCCGGGTCGGGGAAAGAAACCTGGCCGATCTGTTCGTGCCAAATCCTGAACAGTAGAAGCCTCTTACTCTCGATGGTACTTTTCTTTTCTGGTAGGTCTTGAATGAGTTTTCAACCATAATGGCAACTGCCAATGATTGCTGAGGGGGTTCCAGAATCCTGAGGTGGCTTTGTTGTATTGAACCAATTTGATTTCTCATTGCTTGGCAGATTTTTTCAACACAAATGTTGACTTGGCAACGCCACCCGGGTGGAACACAATCCATTGGGGAAAGCAAAGTTGGTTCAATGGCTATTTTGGTGATCTGCTACCCAAAAAGGGCCTACGGATCTGATGGCGAGAGCAAAGTGACCGGAGCTGGGAAAATTGGTGTGTTATCCTTTGGAATACATCAATGGTTACTAATATTTACTCATGGGGATTTTCAAAACAAGGTGGCCTTTTCCCCCTTAATACAAACTCATTTTGAGACATCCAAATTAATCATGGTACTGGGGAAAACCTCACTCACAGTATCATTTCCTGAAAGTATCACATTTGACACACTGCAACGTTTCATTAGTGTGGTTTACTTTGACTATGGTCTTCATCCATGCAGAATTTTCCATGCCTCAAGTTAGGACATGTTGCTATGTCCAATTTCGATTTGCCCCCAGTTGATGATGGCATTTCTTTGGGTGACCTTTTTCAAAATGGAAACAGAAAGCGGAAACTTGTGAAACCTGTGAAGGGTGTTAAGAGTAAAAAAGAAGATGTGACAGTGCCGCTTTCTGGGATGGCACCTTCATCGAGCTCATCAAGAAAGATTGGGCCCACCACAGCTTCAGATCTACCTCCTGATGATGATGGAGAGATTGACTTCTTCCACAGTGGTACTTTGAGTGCACCTCATGTTCTGCCGAAGGCCAAGCTGGCTCCGAAGGGCAAGGCTGCCCCGATTTCACGGAAATTTGCTCAGGCCAGGAAAAAGCATGTGGTTCTCCCTAAGGACCATAGGGATGAGCCGACAGAAGATGAGCTCAGGGAGTGGAGTCATGCTTCGCTAAAGCATGCTGCAGCATTGATTCCATCGGTGGTTGATATGCCCTACACAGACATGTGCTCCATGTTGGAAAGAGTGCCGTCCAACTACGTTGATCGCTGCACCCTGTGGGAAATCTTTTCGGTCCCACGGTTGGCTCCGTGCATTCGGGCGCTTGGTGGCACCTGCCGCCGAAGTTACGACATACAGCACTTCTTCAATTTGGGGAATGAAGGGTTTCAACGTACCTTGCTTCAGGACATCTCCACCTTTAGACCGTTTTACTTGAGCCTCTCACCTCCATGCACCTACCTATGCAAGCTCATGGCTTCGAACTGGTCTCGCATGCGAGGACAGCAAAAATTCCTGAACCTTGAGGATGGTTTGGGCTACATTGACCTTTGCTCTTGGCTGATGGCTTATCAAGTCAAACATGGTTTATACTTTGGGCTGGAACATCCACATGGCTCACTAGCGTGGAGCAGGGCTTCGGTTACTACATCTTATGTTTTTTTGAATTTGTTCCTTTGTAAACCACGTAAACCACTTTGTTGATTTCGAGCCCCTCTTGAAAAATATAGAGTTAGCTTTAACTTCCTCACCAGCCCTCCTGGCAAGGTTCAACGTGTGATGCAGCTGGACGAGTCCATCAAGCTCATCAGTTTTGATCAATGTATGTATGGTCTTGTTTCTAAGGAAACAAAGACACCGATGCAGAAGCGGACCTGCATGCTGACAAATGTCCCTGAAATCATAGCTGCCATGGATGGCAACTATTGTGACAAATCCCACCAACATCAAAAAATTGAGGGCACTGAAGGGAATGAAAAAAGATCCCACTTTGCCCAACATTATCCACAGCGAATGGTGGAGACTTTGTGCAAAGCTGTCTTTAGTTGCGAGAAGCGATGCCAAAGGCAGTGATCATGACTTCAGGGGATGAGTGGAAGAAACAACGCTTTTTTGATTCTCATCCGGGGTGCTGGACACTGCTGAGTTTTTACCCCAAAAGAATAAGTTTATTTTCAAGAAGTAGATTGGGGTGTTTCTCGGTTCGTGATTCCAGGAATCTTTTCATATTAGTGGGATGGGATGGCGGTTGTCTGGGCCAAGGGTATCCGTGAGCTTCCAGGGTCCTAAGGGGTTCCAACGCATGAAAGCTTACCCATTTGAATGCTCCATTTTCACCTTTTGGTTAAATACATAATTTCATATTCATAAACGGTCCCCTTCGCTACTTGACAAAAATTCAGTGAGAAAAAAGTAATGGTCAAGATTATGCCCCAACCACAAAGTAATCGAACAAAGTAGTTACACATCTAGACTATAAGTGCCATTTCCCGATGCTGTTTGACAATAATACAAATTTGGTATTGATATTTTGATGAGTTATAAAATGGTTTGATCACCCAAACATTAAAGCAACAATGCTCGCGCACTATTTCTGAACCAATGGAACAAAATTGAAATTGTGCATCTTCTTTGATTTGGTTCCCCAGGGTCCATGAACCTTGGTTCCACCCACTGGGTTCACCTACTGCCTTTTGTAGGTGCAGATGATGAATGGGCAAGGAAGAGCTTGCCTCAGATTTGCTGGGGGGAGACGTTGGGCTTTAACGATTGCCACCATCAATTGGTTTCTTCTAAGTTGAAAGGGGAATTGGGGCAAATGTCCTTAGTTCTTTCCCTAAAATTAAGGCGGTGTTACAAAAAAATGAATCAGGCAACCTTTAATTCCTCATGGGATTTACAACCCACTAATTCAACTTGAAATGCAAATCAAATATTTAAGGGTGCATTTTATCCTCATTAAATTATTGCCTGGGTTTATTCCTCAATTTTTGGCAATGACCGAATACATAGTGAATGGTTTGTCCCCATCAGTTTTAAACTACCAATGTTTGAGCACTTCATTTTTGTGGAATGACTGATTTTTCCAGATCTCAACCATCAAATTGTAAAGAAGTTTCTCTTGAATGATGGTTTCAAGCTTTTTTGGTATTTCACAAACATCCCAGGGTAAAAAGAAGGTATGGAGACCCCATTAATGTTGGAACCACCATTCAATTCAAATGTCAAAATTCCGTTTTATATCCTGTAACAACAAATCGTTCTAAAATAATATGTCCATGTGTCCTCATTACATGCAAGAAAGTAGCTTCCAGGGATTATCTTGGTTGGTATTATACGAGGGCATGGTTGCATACCTTTTTGGGGGACGATACATGTAACAACATGTTTTAAAACAATCCCCTAATCCACCACTGCATTTATTTATTGCCTGCTTTGCTCAGGCTTGGGGCCTGGTGGAGATGCTGGCTCACCCAGTGGTTATGGGTGGTTGGTAGTCACGTCGGGTGGGAACCCAAACGAAATCTAAATATTAATGTTGATATTATTTCTGGGTTGGCTTAAGATTGGTTTTGGGGTCATGGGTATATATTATCCTTCCATTGTCGGACCAATGGCAAGGAAATAATGCATTTATGTCAATTTGGGTCCTCGAAGCACAACCCCCAACAAAAAAACTTGTTATGCGTTGCGATGGATACGGGATCCTCCAAACCAAAAGATCGGCAAATTTTTTTTTCCTAAATCTCAAAATCAAGGACCCCGAATCTTTTGCGGCAAAAATCATTGTAGAATATAATAGTAGTGCTGTTTCCCAAGTCCACATGCCAATTTCTGCACCCTGAGATCGGCATTTTTTTTTTCCCTAAATCCCAGGGTACAACCTCTGTATTGCCCAAGTCTAGGTGCAGATTTTTGCGACCTTACTTAGGCAATACCCCACCAAGCACCTAGGATATCGTCAATTTTTTTTTTTCCTAACTCAGGGTGCTGATTTCTGCGCCCTGACTTCGGCAAATTTGCTGTTGGACATTGCATGTAAAGGATTTTGGGTTCCACCATCCGTCCTCTCACCCTTGCCTGTCGGGCTCTCGGTGCGATGGAGACCATGGACACACAGGCATGGCTTGACTCAGATGAGGATTGGGTTGGGGCCGGGGCCAAAACTTCAGGTAGAAGATTAGCATTCTTATGGGGATGTTTTCAACTATTTCGGTTTTCCACAAATCCCACAAGTACTACTTTGACATGGCTTTAAACCATCGAATTTATCAGGAATAATATATAGATTAGATGGGGGTGTCTAAAGATATGGGTGCCCCAAACCCTTTTGGATCATATGTCCATCAAGAAGCATTTTTTGGATCATGTCCATCATTCAAAGAGACATGTTTTGGGCATCATTCCCTGGGATCCCTAACATCTCTTAATCAATCATTTAGATATATAAGTCCTAAGACCATTCACAGCAAACATCCCTCTAAACATCTATGTATCTCTCATCATGGGCATACCCGATTTCCTAATGGAGATCTGGAGGTGACATGCGTATGGAATCTTTCTGGCCATGGATATGTGCAAAAAAGGGGAATAATTAATGAGTAGTTCCTAAAAAGGAAACCCCTACCTCTAAATGAAAGATGATCGTTCGAATTGTTTTTTCTGGGTGAAAGGTCTTTGAAAAGAAAGAGCGGGCCCCAGGAGATGCAGAGCGATCATGGCGCAAGTGGCACTGCCCGGGATCTATTTCCAAGTGATTGCTCTGACCAGATGTCCATCACCACCATTCAGTCCGAAGTTGTTTTAAGCAACAAGGAAAAGCTCTTCGATCTAGCTTTCAAGGAGTTCAAGAGTTTTTTGGTATTAATTCAGGATATGAACTAAACCCCTTTTCCCCTTGAAGTATTGTATCACAATGGATATTGAGGATAAGAACTACTGGTCTTTCCCCTTTATAAGATTTAAACATGGGTTGGGTGTGATTATTCTAGTTTGGAAGTTTCCCCAAAACCATCTATCTCTAGGTCATGGGGGTGTCCGGCAATATCTGCATCGTATGTTTCCAGATGTGGGTGCACGAGCTGAAGATTTGGCAAAGGTGCTGCAGAATGCAATCCCCAAGTCACAGGATGTGGACTATGTTGAAAACTATCCCTTGCCTTCTTGCTTTCCAGGACCCTTTAGAATATCCAAATCATCGAAATGATAATGGTTTTATTTAGGTGTTCCAAAAAATCTTGGTGTTGAACAATAAATGCCAAGCCCATCCAATGCAACCGTGTGGCGGTGTTGGATCCAGGACAGCAGGAGTCGCATCCCGCCTTCGTGGTTCCACTGTGGCTTTTTAGCGTTCAGAATGAATCAAGCCTAAGGGAGCCGACGGCATTGGACATCTCAGGAAAGCTTCTTCAGCAGTATGCCACTGACGGGTTTGTGACACAAGGTGAACCAGTGATGCTACGGGTTCAGGTGGGATACTAGTCCTGGACCAAGTGGTAACTATTGGTAACTATGATACCCCCAATGGAATGGTAATAATGGGATAAAACACCTATCAAAAAATCAGCACAAGATTGTCAATTCATGTGTCTCTTTTTTGGTGATTTCTTGGCAGGCGCCCCATATCAAAAAAAAATCTGGTGGCCCAAGTTTCCAAATGACTATGAGACGCTTATTCATCATGTTCCCCCGTTCAGGATGATGCAGTGGTTCTTTCCAAGACAGCAGTTCCACCCGGATCTTTGTGGTTCTTGAAAGGGGCTGCAAGGGTGCACACGGTTATGGCCTTGGTGGTCTACTTGGTCAAGCACACAAACTGCACTCTTCAGGTTAGGGGGGTTGGACAAAAAGTTTTCTTGGCAAACAGCCATGTGGTTAATGTTGGCTCCATGCATTAGATGTGGGCCCTGAAAAGAATATTGTCGAGGTTACTGACCCCTTGCTTTACAAGACCTTGTCTGCGATCCAGTGCAAGCACATGCGTTTGCAAAACAAGCAAGCGGAGCTGTACCCAGCCTAATTAATGTTCATGAAATAGTTGCTTTTACAATCCCAAAATAAATGATACCCCCCAGAAGGGAGTCAAAAATCTTTACCACAAAATGGAGTACAAAGTAGAAGTACCACTGGTCGTTAATGCCACCTCAAATTATATTGAAATCTCTCAAAATAGGGGATCCCGATTTTCTTGCGAATGAGAAAGAATAAATTTGGGGATCCCCCAATGAAGTCAAGAGTATTATTGGCCTGTTTGTTTTCTGTCTTTACCACGCACAACATGGAGTTAAGGTTTTTCAACATGAAGGAATCGGTCAGAGGCGGTATCCGGCAGAAACCAAGTGCTCTTTCGTTTGTATACAGCTTCATCAATCTAGCGTCATGGACACATAGTGACCCAGCGAGCATGATTCGAGCTTGGTGCCTTGTCAATTTGTTACATTCAAGTGAGTTTTGTTTTTACAATCCCAAGGTTTATATGCATACTTTGCACGAGGGCCCAAACCATGTCACTACTAAATTTTGTTTGGTGTTGTTTGTTTCTGGAGGATAACGGTTTATCCGAAAATGGTGTACAACTGTAAAACCCTCAAAGCAGTTGAATGGGATAATGAGACTAATTGTAATTCATTGGAATTAGGGGCACCCTCTTTCAGCACATATTTGATGCATGTTTTGAATGGGGACCCCAACCAGGAATGATGAAGCTTCACGGGACGATCGGCTGGCTGGTGCCAAGAAAAATTCGGTGACATCCATCTTGGATCTTCCCAATCAATGTCGTGAAGTCTTACTGGCAACAGTGAGTGAGTTTGGCTTTGATGGTTCCTAGCAATGCTTTGTCATCTTGTTGATACTGTGTTTGTTGTGTTTGTTTCACGGAATGGTTGGGGATTCGCTTTGGGTTATTTGGGGATGTCTCAAAATGCCGCGCCTTTTTATTCTTAGAGCTCACATTTTTAGGGCCAAAAAGGGCACCTCATTTTGAAAGAGATACCTGTTTTGGGTTTCGAAAAAAGTTGCTAACTGTTTTATTATGAAATTTGCTGTTCCTCAATGAGGTTCCCCCTACACTGATGACAATCTCGGCAGCAAGAAGTACCTCCCCGGGTATTCCTTCAAAGGGCGCGCAGTGCCCCGCAAGTCCCCATGGGTGGAACGAGGCAAAGTTACCAAGGACAGTTGCCTGGCTATGTTTACCATGATCCACAGCCAGCACTGCAAGAATCCAGACCGCAAGTTGCTGAAGGCCCATCTGGAGGAGAAAGCTGAGATTTGCGCGTTGGCTTGTCCCTTGGGTTCAATGTTCAATGTTTTGGGGCAGTGTAAACTCATGATGTATTTAAGGCCTATACCAATGGTTTCAGGGCATTGTTTTCTATGACCTGTGCAGTCATCAGGTGCTTTGATCCAGGAGGTTGCGGCGGAAGTCCCAAACTCTGAGAAAGAACTTCGGGACCGGTTCTTCGCCCTGTGAATTAACAAGTCTGCTCCTTCCTCAGTATTATAATAGCTGCTAGTTCTTTCGTTTTCAAGTACCTTTTGATTTGGTGGATTCAAACTGCACAAAGCAGAACAAGGTATTTGTCCAAACTTCATGCTGGGGATGCGATTGTGGAAACCGAGCTGCGGAGTGCTCTGATGACAAAAAGTGAAAAGTATGTTGCCCGAGACAACACAAGTAGCTTGGACAAATCAAATTTTGATTTAAGATACGATAGTTCAATAGCTAGCTTACCGTCTTATTTCTTCTCCATCTGAATATACAATATGATTAAAGGTATTGCGAGCATCCTGAATGACATGGGTGGCAAAAGTGGCCCAGACGGTACTTCCATAGAATTGCAATCGGCAGTGGAAATTGGAGAGCAAAAGGTTGCCCATCAGGCCTACCAGTTGTTGATGACGGAGTTGGACTTTGATGTGAAGAGTTGGCGAGTTCACCAGCGAAAACTGAAGGAATATGACGTACGACTCTATCACCAGAAGGATCGGTGGCAAATCGATAGGCACCAGGCAGCCAAAGCAGGAGCGGCGAAGATTCTGGACAAAAAGGTGTGTTGTTTGAATGAACCTGTGAAAAAATATTGAAAAATAGATCGTTTAAGGCTCGTCCTGCTGTGTTACTATTGGTAGGTTTGCGCAACGTTTCTCACAACAATGTTATTTTTTTACACTGTGGTGATGAGTTTTTTAATGGTTTTCCCCTGAGGTTTTCACCATCACCTGGCCTGAGAAGATCCTGCCCGGCACAGCCGTAGAGATTGTGCAAACTATGGCGGCTGATTCCAAGGCATGGGCTCACACCCTCAAGTGCAACCATGTTGTTCCTTGCTTTGAAATTGTTTTCCCTGTTGGGCTGGAAAGCTTTTGGGACCTGCAGCTGAGTGTTTCCACAGTAGGCATGGGGCTGGCATTTCTTCAGTGGTCTTTAAATCTCTGAGGTGACTCTTCATGTGCTGAACTTTGCTGCTCCACCTCTTGTGAAGAACGATGTGCTGACAGCAGCAACAAAAATCACTGGCCACCACTTCATGGCATCACCGAAGGACACGATCGGAATCTTGCTGTCTCCAATCTTTTCCCACAAGCCGGGCACACTCTTCATGGATGAGCACATGGTTTTGAAAGCACTGCATTTGGACAGTGTGTTGGTGGATATGAACGTGCAGCCGTGCTTCGACCCCAAAAGCAAGTCTGATACTTTTTTGTGGATTCAGAGCTAGCTTTTGGTTTACATGTTGTTCTTGTTTATGTGTTTTTTGTGTTTTGATTTTAGATATGATGTGTGTGTGCCTGTCACACTCAAAGTTCTTTGTTGGGTTCATGGGTCCCTTAGTACATGTATGACACCTTGATATTTTCGATAGGGGGGATACTTCTGATTAAGGACCAGAGAGACCAACGGCCACTTACATACCCATGTCGCCTGCTCTCCGCAATGATGGACAAGAATGACAAGATGAATGAATGGGTGTGGCGAAACTGTGCCCTTGCTAAGAACGGGAGAAACCTTGATGAACCTGCTCAGCTGTCACAGAAGGATTGACATTCTGTTTCCAAAGTGTTCAAAAATGGACCCAATTTTCCAATTCTTCGATCAAAGGATAAACCTTGTAACCCTGCAGGACCTGATCCAGATTGAGGAAGCTGACAAGCTCCCGCTTTCAAATGTTGATGACCGAGTGCGTGGTGGAACAAAGTATGCGCAGGTTGGAAAGGATGCGGCCCTTTCGTTGTTTAAGAGCATGACTGATTCTTAGCTTACCGTGTTTCATTTTTTCCACGTTTCTTCCCCTGAATGTTGCCGGAAGAAGATTCGGTGTTGATTGGTTTCCACTGGACAGTTTTTAAGGAAGGAGTGACCTGGTCCTCAGCGACCTGCCTGTACATCATTGACTACGTCCCCGTGGTTGGTGATTTCGCACATGCGGCTTTGATGCTCAGTTCTTCCTTGAATATCCCTGTGCGATATGCAGCACTGCTTGATTCTTCCCATGAGGAATGGCTTTCCGACAGCTTGATGCAGAGTTTGACTGACCAGCTCTTGGCAGGACAAGTACAACCCCCGAATGGCATCACCATTCCAGCGGCAGATCCACCTCCTGAGCACATGGACCAAAAACCTGACCCACCCCAAATGAAGAAGATGACTTTCATCAAGGTACCAAACGGTCATTCAAACGATGTTTGGGGTATGGAATATTGGGTTGAATATAGTTCTACATTTACCATGTTCCTGTTGTATGTTTTCGTATGCTTTCATCCTTGCCCTCCCAGGTGGATGGTGAAGTTGCTGGAATCCAGGTTCCCGATCAGGTTCAAAAACAGTGGCATTCCAACCCAGTTCATGGCACCGAATTCCGGGCTTGGATGGAAACGTTCAATGAGGAATTTCCCAAACCAGAAAAAAGGGGGCCAAACGAAATGCGTCGGCAGCGGCAGGAACCACCAATACCCCCAACAAAGTGCAGAAAGTTGGGGCAAAACCAATTGACATGTCGATGTTTGGGCCACTGCTTCGGGAGAAGGGGAAGGAGCCTGAGGAAACAGTGTTGCAAAGGGTCAACCTCCTCAACCTTTCCAACATTGATCTTGTCATCCAGACTGGGGCCATCTTTGTGACCAATGTTGGTGAACAGAAAGTTTCTTGATATCAAAAATTGCTACGGTTCCCCCAAAAAAAACACCAAATTTTACCCCAAATTCTATGTCAGCTTATGAATATATATATATATATATATGTACATATATATATATATAGGATTTGGGATATATAGCTGAATTCATTTCCACAATCTGTTCTGTTTAGATTGTGAGCAGTTTCATCCCATGGTCCTTTAGGGTGATGTGTACTGTAATGATAGCACCTATCTGATTTCCAAGGTGTGCATTCCAGAGGGTACCAGCATTTGCGGGTTCGGCCGGGGCAATTTTCGATTTGGTGGTGAGCAGACGGCTGCTCAAGACCATGAGATTCACTACTTGATCAAGTCAGCAGACCAAATTGTGATCATGGATGGGCGCGCGCATTACCTTGGTGACCTTTTGGAGGCCCAGCGGTTGAAAGCCCCCGATAAGCCAGGTCTTCAGTACTACGAGGCGACACTGGAGAAGGTAGAGCAGAAGTGGGAATTGAAAAAGGCTGGGCATGCAATGTAAAAAAACATGTCTGAAATTGGAATTTAGAAATAAATATTTCCTGAAATCTCCAGAAGGCTAGCTTGACCTTAGGGTTTATGTTGAATAAGTATGGGTTTGAGTTTGGCCCTTCAGTTTGGCACTTCCTTAAAGACATGTCCCCAGAGGTGAAAGACTTGCTGTTCACACCGCGCATGGATGAGGACAAGAATAACCAAACCACGTGCGCAAAGAATGCCAGTCCAGTGTTGAAGTGGGAGAGTGAATGGACAGGGATTGCATGGCATGTCAAACAGACTTCCCAGGGATTGCAGCCCCAAAGACCAGTTGTTGTTGCTACCCAGGGTGTTGAGATTGATGTCGGTCAGTCACTTTTGGTAGACACCCTGCGATAGTTTCACTGTTTCATGCTACTGCCAGGGTATCCCAGCACTCAGGTTGGATTTTGAACCATTAAATTTATATCTCGGGGTACCCCCACTTTCAATTAATTGTCTTGGTCCCAACATGTTGTGAGTGGCTGGCGGAAGAAACGGTAGCGGCAGAAAGGTGGCCAATGATGTTACAGGTTCCAAACCAAACTGCTGGAACGCTGTCCATGGCCACAGTGCGGGTGGGCAGGAATGAAAACAAATAGCATTCATACTCTTGCTATTGTGTATGCTTCCGTGTGCTCACCCGGCGCGTTTGTCAAACACAAAATTCCACAGCCTTTGGGGCATTGGGAAAACATGCTGGTTACACCAAATTGCGTGATCAATTGCAGGCCTTACAAATCTTGGTGAGCCAATTCCCCTTATTATTGCCTACTTATCATTTGACGTAAAAGCGAATGTATTTGGGATGCACATTTGATATCAATGGAATTGGACTACTTATATATTTTTTGGGGTTCACCCAGACCTGCCCATGTGACCCAGGCCCTGCAGCCAAATGGCCATGTGACGAGCCTGGGACTTTGGGTTCCTGAGGCGGTGGGGGTGCCAGACTCTGCTGGTGTGGCTTAAAAATTGAAACATTTGTGGGAGTTTATGAGCTATTTCTTTGCCCCATTCTCCATTATATTTAAGAAATAAAAGTATACATCATCCATATCATAGCGCCTCAACTTGACACAAGCCATCGCATTGCTACTATGTCGAATTGTTTTGCGTCAATATATCACTGTAATGAAACACTGGTTTGGTTTGATTGAACATAATTTGTCAGATGATCAGTTGAAGTGAGAAGCTACTAAAAAATCATTGTTATATTTTTTTTGGTTGGGGAATAAAAAGGCCCACACACCACAGTCTAATACCCAGCTCTGACATTGCAAAGGAAACCCAACTAACCATTTTGAATGCTAAGGTTTACATGGGATCTTCAGCTAGGAAAGCACAGGGAAAATCATCTATTGAAACTAGCTTGAGCTGCCCTGAAAAAAGACACCATTTGGGGTTTAGAAATTAGCTTGGGTTCCTAACAATAAATATCCTCCAATCCAACCAGCGGAGCTGACCCTGCCTTCCGTCAGGCCCCTTGTATGATCATCCGTGTTGCGTTTCCCGAGCCAATAGTAGGTGCAAAATGCATTTCCACAAATGGGAAGTTTAGGCAGTTGTTTTTATAAGGATGTTTACTTTCACAGTGGGTTTGCCTGTTCATTTTTGTCAAAGCAAATCCCCATTTGAAAGAACTAGTGTTGGGTATATCCCATTTTCTCACATACCAGCAAGACACTCCAAAATTCAAACCTTTTGGTGGTGATTGGAAACTCCTAAACCTGTACTGTGTGCAGGTGGAAACCAACTGCTGTGCTGTCAAGCCCCACTCTAGCTCCCAACTGGTTTGAGCGTGGCTCCCACATGGTTGAGCGGAGTGGGGCAAATACTACGGGGGATGAGGACTGTATTGGTGAGGGATGGGGGAAAGAAACTGGAAGGTCAAAGTGGGAGCTTTCATAGGCCATAGGTGGTTGAGCTCCTGCGGGGACAGTGGCTTGGGACGTCTGGCAGGTAAGAGCCACCCAGCACCTCCCATACCCCTAGGAGAAATTTGGTTTGGGACATCCCAATTTATTGTCATCATTGTCATTGGCTCTTCATCATCAGTCTTCGTTTGATTATATTTTACCCACCCCTATCATGGCTATCAACTTCCCTCTGAGAGAGGGCAGGAAGAAGGACGAGGTGCACCTTGCACAAGGAGTGGCCAGAATACAAGGCCTTCAAGGCGTGCTTTCCGCGATCTGAAGAGCAGCCTATGACGCCGGACTTGCGGGCGACTTATCTGGCCAGGGAAACGGCGGCACACAGTGGCTTGAGACACGGTTGGTCGTGCTCCCGCGTTTCCAAGGCATTGGACTTGGGACGAAGTTGCCTGAGCTCGTGGCGGCCCAGCGTGGCGCGTATGGCTTGTGTCTTATGTCCAAGACCAAGCACTCCCATGAGGGTTGCCAGTTTGCAAAGCTGATCTTGCGCTAGTTTGGCCACACTTGGCACAATGGAGTTGCTCTGTGGAGCAGCCCGGCTGCATGCATCTTGGCAGCTGCAGCCATGTGAGAATGCGGAGCTGGCGGCCGTCCCGAGGGTGTGAAGAAAAGGTGAGCAAGGACAGATTTTCGAGACTGTGGAGCTGGAGGCCATCCCAGGAATGTCACAAAGGTGAGCAAGGACTCTAATAGAATATATAGCAGTATCTTAATTAACATTTGAAGGCAACAATATAACCCCTGATGATTGTTTTTTACCTATGCCTAAACCAGAACAATTTTCCGATAATGGAACCTATCTTCACATGGGCTGCCAGTGTTTTATAGCTCAGCTGAAGGGGTCTGAGCTTGGTTAATCCATGTCAATGATAATAGCCAAGGGAATTTGATATGTAATCATCCGTGTGGTTGGGCCTTGGAAAGCTAATATCTAAATTTACCATTGTTAAAAAGATAGTTCTGGGACAAAATAACTAACTTAATAATTTGAATTCCCCACCTGCCAGGTGAGGGTTCTTAGATTTTATCACGGCTGTTCCGGCTCCTCCTCCTCCTCCACCTCCTCCTCCTCCTTCTCCTCCACCTCCTCCTCGTCCTCCTCCTTCTCCTCCACCACCTCTGCCTCCACTTCCATGTCCACTTCCGCCTCGCCAACTCTTCGCCAATCTCTTCGCCAACTTCCGCGCGCAGTGGGCACTGCTGGACCTCAACTGCCGGCTTCCGATCTGAGTGGGCACGGCTGGACTTCAACCGCAAGGTTCTGAGCGCAGTGGGCACCATTGAATTGGACTTCAACCAGGGACCTTCCGAGCCCAGTTGGCACCGCTGGACCTCAACCTAGGGCCTTCGGAGCCCAGTGGGCACGGCTGGACCTCAACCTGGGACCTTCCGAGCTCAGTGGGCACCGCCAGATAGAATGCCAGAATATATGCCAGAAAGACTGCCAGAATATATGCCAATAGATTGCCAGAATATATGCCACATAGAATGCCACAGGGAATGCTAAAATATATGGTAGAAAGAATGCCACATAGAATGCCAAAATATATACCAGATAGAACGCCAAAATATATACTAGATAAAATGCTGGAAGATATGCCAGATAGAATATCAGAATAGATGTCAGGTAGAACGTTAGGTAAAATGTCAAAATATATGTCAGGATATATGACTTGAAATGCCAGGGTGGGGATCACTCGAAGTAAAGTAATTTTAGATATCACTGCTTAATGCTTCTTCCCTGTAATTCTGATTGAAAGGTCCAGAAAAGGATCTTTGTGGATTTGAAAATTGCAGATGGATATTTATCGTATGAAATCTGCCTGATTTTGCTTCAAGGCTTGTAATTGTATACACATTAACGCTATAGTATTGGAATCTAGGGTTCTTTGTCACAGAGACAGATATAAAATTCAAATCTAAGCGGAAAACAGAAACGTAACATCCGTTATATAAAAATCCTGGTAGTGAACCTGCACATATTTAGTACCAGTATTAACATCACCATGAATGGGGAATAGTTAATGAAAAAATTGTCCTTTGTAGATTCCAGCAACCCGGGGTAATATTTTGATGGTAGACAGCACACCGGGCCCATCCGCCAAAATCCCAGCCGACTGGCAGGAACTGCTCACTGGTTGTGGTGGCCACCGGCCACCACCCACCGGGTGGTGGTGTGGGGTTGAAGGTTCTGTTGGATAATGGATATGATATAAACATAGAAATAATGGGGAAAATTAGTCCTTCAGTAAAGGAATGACCATCAGGGATAATATTTGTGGTTTTATATCAAAGGTATATGGGGATACCACCGTGGTTGAAATGAATAGATATAGTGATATAGTACATACCCTATAAAGGGATGGCACCCATTCCATTTTAATCCAGCAATTGGTCGGGTATCCTATAAGGGAAGTGGTAGTGGACCCCTGCTTATCCAAAGAATAGGATAGAAAAAATAACTATAACCGATACTGGGATGATACCAATTTAATCAACCTATTGGTTGCCTAAGATTGAAAATAATAATGCACATATGATTATCCATGAGCATGGTAGAAAACAAATCGATAAATGAAATAACTAATGGTAAGGTGACACCCATTTAATCAACCAATTGGTTATACCTCATAGGTGGAATAATGCACATATGGTTACCCATGAGCATGATATAGTAAATAACCAAAGGTAAGATGATATCCATTTTATCTACCCACTGGTTACCTCATAGGGGGAACTAATAATCCATGAGCATGGTAGAAAACAGATAAATACATTAACAAACCAATGGTAAGATGATACCCATTTAATCAACCAATTGGTTACTGTATAGGGGAAATAATAAGGTATCTATAATACAATTCAATACCACCATATATTAAATTTGAAAGACCCAAGAATCCATTTCCACAGACCCCAGATCAATTGCAATACCTTATATACAATCTATAAAATGAAGAAATAATGAGTAATTTCAGCTACGTTTTTTTTCATACCTTCCGAGGAAAACAGAATTATAGAACAACAGGGTACGGTAAATAACCGTACCTTCGTACTCCTCAACTTCCGTTCTATAATTCTGTTTTCCCCCATTTTTCCCACATTTACCAAGTGATTTTCTTAGATTTCATGGTGATTTTCTGAGATTTCATGGTGATTTTATGGGATTTCATGGTGATTTTCTGAGATTTCATGTTGTTTTTGTGGGATTTCATAGTGATTTTATGGGATTTCATGGTGATTTTATGGGATTTCATTGTGATTTTATGGGATTTCATGGTGATTTCATAGGATTTCACGGTGATTTTCTTAGATTTCATGGTGATTTTGTAGGATTTCTGGGACCCCGGAAGAGGTTCTATAATTCTATAATTAATTTTTCCGTTCTATAATTATTTTTTCCGTTCGACAGAAAAAATAATTATAGAACGGGGCCCGGGAAACATTAATTATAGAACGAAAATGGGAAATGTGAGAAAAATGGGGGAAAACATAATTATAGAACAGCAGCGCTCCGACAAGAATTATAGAACGACGAAAAAAGTTAGGAGTAATTAAATTCAGATACGTTTTTTTTTCACACCTTCCGAGGAAAACAGAATTATAGAAGAACAGGGTACGGTAAATAACCGTACCTTCGTACTCCTCAACTTCCGTTCTATAATTCCGGCACCTACAGTATCCCCCATTCTCGCCCTCAGAAACAAGTCACATTCCGTCACCTGCGTCCTGGTCAAACATAGCAAAATGTGATGATTTCCCATAGCAATAAAGGAGAAGATATGAACATTCATTGGCCCGCTCTCAATGTGATCCTCCAAAAACTAGGGTGTTTTAACTCACAACTATTCCCAAAACCATTGATGGGATCCCTCCCCAGAGCCGCCATTTGCCATGATGTGCCACCAGCCACCATCCGACAGTCTGTGGATGCATAGGCCAGCTCATGTTGTCCACTTCTCTAGTGCCTGCATGTATACATGGGTCTGTCCGTCCAAACACTTGGTCCTACCGTGCTGCCGTTAAATTCTATCA